GATTCATAAATATCGCCGAGGTCGCTAACTTTGCAAGAGCGTAATTCCGTAAGTTTTCCGTCAAATTTCGTTCTTTTGGTGTCATCACCATCGGGAAAAGATTCTCTTATCATTTCATGAGAGATTTTTTTTTTTTTTTCCAAAAATTTTTCGACACTAGGAGACACCTCAGGATTTGAGGGTGTGACAGTTATGGGGTTATAATTTTTTTGGTAGGTAGTGTATGTTGGTGTTGAGATTCAGCTTATTTTCTCAATTTGTATATTTAATGTCATCAATCTTTTTTTTTTTTTTTAAGCACATCAGCCGTATCCCACCGAGGTAGAGTGACCTGAAAAGTTTTTATTTTTATATTTAGTAATTTATATGGGAGAAAGGGTTACTAGTCCCTTACTCCTGGTAATTTAGTTACCTTTTTTTTTTATAGAATGGCCCTTTTGTAATATTATTGATTACAAATGTAAGGCACTGGTCATTTGTTGTATACTTGATTATATTTATTATTTTAGGTGCTATTATGTTGGTTCAGATATGATTAAAAATAGAAGCAGATGTTTCAGTGATTCTAGTGGGTTTTCTAATTGAGGGGAGTAAAGAGCAAGCAAGCAGTACTACCTTCTTTCTTTCAACAAATCGGCCGTTTATCACCAAGGCACGGTGGCCCAAAAAGAAAAACACTTTTGCTGTCACTCACACTATCACTGTTTTGCCAGAGGCACACAGATATGACAGTTCAGATGTCACTCCAAACAATAAATATCTCGACTTCTCCTTGAGAGTGCAGGCACTGCACTTCCCACCTCAAGACTTGGGTCTAGTTAGCCAGACGTACAATATGTGTTTAGAAAACAAAACTCAGCACCTTGGAGTTGTTGCTAAGGTATGTGTTGAGGTCTTCAGCAAATATTAAGCAATTTTTGAGTTCTATGTTTATCATGTTTCTCAAATATTCAGTGAAGTTTGGTATGTTGGTTTGAGGTATTCTGTAAGTTGATTAAGGTATTAGATCAGTAGTTTTGCTTTTAAATTAAGCAAGGACCTATATTTTCACCATGGAAGAAACTATAATGCAGCCTCTGCAGCAAAATCTTTGCCATGAAACTCGAAAAAGTTGCTTGCCATTGATCAAGTGGCAAACGGTTTTTGCTTGTTTTCAACCATGTAAAGAAAATGAATGAGACATGTGTTGAATGAGACATGTGTTGCGAGTGTGGGACATGTTAGTCTCACACTCCATTTGTATCTTTTTCCCTGTACTTTTGTTGCCATCTACAGTTATTTCTGTCATTCATAATGGGTCAGGAGAGGCTTTGTATGGTGAAGACTGGTGTCATCACTTTTCTGGGGGAGGGAGTCCTTGTGAAGGATATTTTCAGAGAGACCGAGATACATCCCTCAGTCTATCCGGAACCTCAATGTTGCTGCAAGCAATTTGCCTCGTGGTACAACTCCCATTACAAAGAAGGGGTCTGGAGGGCCCTACAAATTTCAGTTTAAAGACAATCCAAAATAAACTCTTGGCATTCCAGCCACTAAATCAACCTTTCCTCTGTTTATTAATCATGTCCCCTTGCCTCTTCTTTAGCACCTGCTCTCCATATTAAACCCATTGTTACACAAAAATTTAAAGTTTTCACTCTGTTTTCTCTCCTTAATGAAATGTAGCCAAAGAATGATTGGTCATGGTTTAAGCCATCTCAGTAATTGAGCAAACTTATTAACCCTTTCAGGGTCTGTCCCGTAGATCTAGCGGCTTTACGTTCAGGGTCCAAACCGTAGATCTACGTCATGAGCTCAGCTCACTGATAAAACTGTGAGTGGTACATTTGGGCCTAGATATGAGAGAATACATCTATGTGGTATGTGTGCACCACATAAAACAGATCCTGCAGCACACTGTGTATGAGAGAAAAAAAACTGAAATCATGATTTTTCGATTAAAACAGCAACTTTGCAGTGTTTTTTCGTATGTTTTTTATAGTTGTATTTGCAATTTCTTGGTCTCATTTGATAGAATGGAAGACATATTACAGAAATAGAGATGATTTTGATTGGTTTTAGCACTGGAAATGGCTTGAAACTGAGCTCAAAGTAGCAGAAATGTTAAATTTTTGCCGATATTCAAGAGTAAACAAACGACCTCACATGTCTAATACACGCCAGCTGGTGGGTCTAATATGCATTCACAAATATGGTGATGATATTTATACAATTTTACAGTATTGCATAACAGTAAATCTTCTATTTTTTGGTGTGAATAAAAATTTATTATGTGAATAAAGAATCAAAATGGAATTTATTTGTAAAGCCTCAAAACTAACTAATGAGCAGAGGAAATGTTAGTTTAGTTCCAGGAATACCTACATTGTTTATTCTGGACCCTATTTTGAAATTGGAATATTTTGAACTTTGTATTAAATTGGCCAAATTAACAATTTCCGATCACTTTAATTTGTAGTTGAAATAGTTGACTTGGCGATTTCTTGTGCTCAATCGATAGAATAGAAGTAATACTAATGAAATAGCTAAGAATTTGGTTGACTGGAATAATGTAATTGGCCTAAAATGGGAGTGAAAGTCGGCAAAATCGCCGATTCGTAAATATCGCTGACACATCAAAATTCGCAAGAGCATAATTTCGTCAATTTTCCATCAAATTTCGCACTTTTTGTTTTATTACCTTCACAAAAAGATTCTCTACGATTTCATAAGAAAAAATAACAAATTTTTTTTTTGAAAATTCTTGGACACTGGGGCACCACTTCAGATTTGGGCCTTGGACCCTGAAGGGGTTAAAAAGCCCATGAAACAGACCAGGTAGGTAAAGGGGGGAGCCCTACTATTCCACAAGAAAATTTCCCAAAATCAAATAATTTCACTGTTTGAGGCCTATTTCAAGCCACTTCAGGTATGAAACCCACCAAAATTATTTCAGTAGTATGTCTTTTAGTTTATCAATTGAAACCATGAAAACTGTCCTAAAAAACACCTCAGTCACTATATTAACCCTTTTGGTGTCTATCCCATTATATAAAATATGTATTATTACCAAACCTCTTTCTACACACAGTTCAATTAAAGGCTCCCCATTTTCATTTACCCCCGGCACCCCAAATTTACCTATTACTCCCTCCATAACATTTTTACCCACTTTAGCATTGAGATCCCCAACCACAAGTACTCTCTCACTTAGTTCATAACTCCCCATGCACTCACTCAACATTTCCCACAAAATCTCTCTCTCCTCTACACTTCTCTCTTCTCCAGGTGCATAAACACTTAATGTAACCCACTTTTCACATCCAACCCTTATTTTACTCCACATAATCCTTGAATTTATACATTTATGTTAGCTTTGTTTCACTTAGAGCCAAGACCTTCAACTTCTTTTCATTCATAACATCCACAATCATCTCTATCATTCGCACTACAACCATGCACATTCAAACATCCCACTTTAAAGGTTTTCTTCTTCTTTTTAGTAGGCTATACGGGAAAAGGGGTTACTAGCCCAGCGTTCCTGGCGTTTTAGTTGACTTTTACAACATGCATGCCTTGTGGAGGAAAGATTCTCATTCCACTTTCCCATGGATGTGAAAGGAAAAATAATAAGAACAAAAGCTATTAAGATAAAATCAAAGAAAACTCAGATGAGTATGTATACATAAATGTATACATGCATGTGTAGTGTGCGTGTGACCTGAGTGTAAGTAGAAGTAACAAGATGTACCTTAAATCTTGCTTGTTTATGAGACAGAAAAAAGACACCAGCAATCCTGCCATTATTTAAAACAAATACAGGCTTCTGTTTTACACTCAGTTGGCAGTACGGTAGTACTTCCCTGGGCAGTTGCTGTCTACCAACCTACTACCTACATTCAATATATATATTAGTGTTAACACTTCAGGTTCAAACCTATGAACTTCGACAAGGGAGACACTAGTGTGTATGTGTACCCGACAATATAACATGTATAATTATTTATCCCATGTGTTCTTCATCTTTCATAATTTTTTACTTGAATGCTATTTTTAAGAACATCACTACTGTGTTAATTGACATCCAATTGTATATAAATTCTAGGTGTTGAGATAGATGTGGGATTAAAAAATAAAGAACCTGATAGGTGGGTGTTGTCACAGTTGCTGTGCTGATGACACAGCAAATAGCAACTGTGACTCCTGCACTAACCTTTGCAACTACTCTTTGGAGAAGTTGCAAAGGTTAGAGGAGTTTGGGAGGGTTTACTTGGAGAATGAAATTAAGTGAACACAGAAAAGAGCAAGATAATGAGAGTAAACTGTAAGTTTCAATTGAAAAAAATTTTGTCAGATGTTGTGAAAGATAAGATGAATCATAGACTATATAAAGGGGAAAAAAAGTTAATCTATGGGGGCAAAGATTGAATGTACCAGTGTATTGGTATTAATCCTTTTATATGGTAAGACATTGGCTTCAAACATTGCAGTGAGGTGGAGGAGAAGGTTGGAGGCAGTGGAGATGTCAGGTTGAGAGCAATATGGTATAAATATTATGCAGAGAATGGGGGGTTACAAAGGACAGTATTATTCAAAAGGCAGAGGAGGGGTTGTTGAGGTGGATTGGGCATTTAGAGAAGATGGAGCAGAATAGGATGACAAGTGGGTGTATAAATCTGGGGTGGAAGGAAGAAGGGTAGAGGATTATTACAGGAAGGTTCAGAGGGAAGGGGTGGTGGTGGTTTTGGGTGGTTGGCACCTATGCATCCAATAAGAGCATGAGTGTTGGATGAAGGTGAGTACAGACTAAGTGGGTTTTAGGGATTTGATGTGCTGTTGGAGTGTGAGCAAGTCCTAGAGATGGGAAATATAGTGCCTGTACTCTGAAGAAGGGTGAGGATGTCACAGTTTGGAGAGTCGTTTGAACTGTGATTGTGAATTCTGGCAAGACATTTATACTGTATATTGAATAATTAGTAGTGAATGTTCTTGATTTTTTGGTTTCCCTGCCTTGGTGGGAGATGGCCAATGTGTTAACATTAGAATTGTGTCAGCATTCAGTAAAAATACTAAACTTTTTTTTTTTTTTTCAGATTGCTTGCAACTTGTTCCGAACTCTTCCTCCTTCGGATAACCCAGATTTTGACCCAGAAGAGGACGATCCAACGCTAGAAGCGTCTTGGCCACACTTACAGCTGGTCTATGAATTCTTTCTACGCTTCTTAGAGAGCCCCGACTTCCAGCCAGCAATTGGCAAGAGAGTTATAGATCAGAAATTTGTTTTACAGGTGAGCATGAATTGATTTTCCTTCTATTTCTCTATGATTAAGGAATGCAAATTTAATAATCTAGATTAAGGTTTTCTTGTAGGTGGATATCCTAGTTTCACAGATAGTTTAAGAGTACAGTGGACCCTCAACCAGCGATGACATCGATTAACGATAAATCTGACTAGCGATACATTTTAACGCAAAAAAATTTTGCCTCGACTAACGCTTAAAAACCCGACCAGCGCTATTCATTCCGTACGAGACGCGTCCACTTTGGCCAGAGTGCGCCTCACTTGTCCCGTGGGTGCCAGTGTTTACAAGCCAGCCACCGCAGTCGCTTCCAAACATACAACTGGAACATTTCATATTATCACAGCCTATGTAGTGATTGCACCTGCAAAATAAGTCACCATGGGCCCCAAGAAAGCTTCTAGTGCCAACCCTACAGCAAAAAGGGTGAGAATTACTATGGAGATGAAGAAAGAGATCATTGCTAAGTATGAAAGTGGAGTGCGTGTCTCTGAGCTGGTCAGGTTGTATAATAAACCCCAATCAACCATCGCTACTATTATGGGCAAGAAAACGGCAATCAAGGAAGCTGTTCTTGCCAAAGGTGCAACTGTGTTTTCGAAACTGAGATCGCAAGCAGTAGAAGATGTTGAGAGACTTATTGGTGTGGATAAACAATAAACAAATAGCAGGAGATAGCATCTCTCAAGCGATCATATGTGAAAAGGCTGGGAAGTTGCATGACGATTTAATTAAAAAAATGCCAGCAACTAGTGATGTAAGTGAATTTAAGGCAAGCAAAGGTTGGTTTGAGAGATTTAACCCTTTCAGGGTCCGTCCCGTAGATCTACAGCTTTACGTTCAGGGTCCAAACCGTAGATCTACGCCAAAATTCTAGCGCCGTCAAATTTAGCTCGAGAAGGCTGGTAGGCCTACATCTAAGAGAATGGGTCTGGGTGGTCAGTGTGCACACCATAGAAAAAATCTGGACGCCCACATGGCATTGTGGGAACGCCAACAAAGTAGCTTTGTTCATAGTGCCTGGCGGCAAGATGCTCTCACTCCCCACTCACTTTCCGGGCGAATTCTGACTCTCCTCTTCACAACTTACAGTTCAAAGACTGATGAAAGTGGAGCTGAAGACGAATTCTATGGTTTTGAACCATATGGTACCATTGTGCCATATGGTACAATGGTGCCATGTCATACAATGGTATCATATGGTACAATGGTATATGGTACAATGGTACCATAGGTTACAATGTACCATATAGTACATTGTACCATATGGTACAGGGTACAGGGACCCTAATGGAAATAAATCTGACTTTTTTGGGTTATCCTAGGTTCTCCAAACATATGCTGCTAAGTATGATATTCTATGTAACTTTATTTGTGTATAACTAAATAAACTTACTTATGATGCCACATGCACTTGAGTAAGTTTATTCAGGTGTACAGAAATACAATTGCATAGATTATCATACATAGCAGCATACGTATAAAATCCTAGGATAACCCAAAAAAGTCAGGGTGACTTATTCTTTTAGTTATCCCTGTATCTGTACCATATGGTTTCCTGTACTGTATGGTACCCTTTACCATATGGTACCCTGTACCATATGGTACCCTGTACCATATGGTACCCTGTACCATATGGTACCCTGTACCATATGGTACCCTGTACCATATGGTACCCTGTACCATATGGTACCCTGTACCATAAGGTACCCTGTACCATATGGTACCCTGTACCATAAGGTACCCTGTACCATATGGTACCCTGTACCATATGGTACCCTGTACCATAAGGTACCCTGTACCATAAGGTACCCTGTACCATATGGTACCCTGTACCATATGGTACCCTGTACCATTGGTACCTGCACTATATGGTACCCTGCACCATATATTATCCTGTACTGCATGGTTTACATGAAATAGGAGCTGCGATGAAACATACACAGAAAACAATGAGACATGTGAATGAAACATTAACACATAACATTTTACATTTTATTGGTGATTCTTCATTAGTGTACGGGAGACGGAGGAGGAAGAGATTGAATTCTTTACTATTTGGTAAGGGGAATTCCCTTCCATAAAGACGTCAGGTAACAAGAGCTGTTCTGGGTTACTTTGCGTCTTTTGTTCTTTATTAAATGTCCCTAGGACCAGCTTGAGGTCACTGCAGCACCTGTGGCACATAATATCCAGAGAGCTCGTGTTTCTGGCATCTCTTTACAACTTCCTAATATGGGACCCAGACTTTGGTCACGGTACAATGTTGCCAACATGGTTTCAACAGCTTATGTCAGGGTGATGTTTCTCCATTAAAATTTTCCTCCCTACTTCCACATTTCCAAGAATCTCTCCCATAATTTCTGAAGAAGGCAACTTCTCATCTCTCTCTCCTCTCTCCCTCTCCTCCTCAGAACAATATTCTTGAGCTGCGGTCTCTTGCTGTTCCAGCTGAACCTTGCAGCTTGTCAGTGTTTAGCTCTCGTTGTGGTTCCACCAACGCAATTCTTTCTGTCCACACTTCCTCCAAATTGCACATCCAACCCCATGGAATTCCACAATGCCACAATCGAATCCACAACTGCCATAAGGGTTCCATCAAGTCAGAAGCTCTTCAGAAAATCCCCTCTTGTTGTCGACATAACTGGCCACTAATTTTCTTTCTCTTCGCCACAAGCAGAGTTCTAAAGTCCTGGTTATTCACTAACACACCCTCCCCAAGATAGCCTTAACCTATAAGGCTTAATTCAATAAGAGATACTGAAGTTATCTTTTACAAAACCTCTCATAGGTCAAGGAGTGTCTGTGGTCATATAAAAAGCACCATTTTGAAAATATTGCTTTTTGGTGTGTTTTTGAAGTTTGAATGAATCTTCTGATACATGGGCGGAGGAGAGGAGTGGTATTAAGGGGGCAAAACTTCACTGAGATTGAACCCAAGTTCTCTCCAGAAATAAGGTCATCCAAGTTTGGAGGGATGAGCATGCATTGTACCATTAGCAGGAGCACTTGAGGTCCAATTATCTTTTCCTCAGGGGCCAAACACTTCATGGAACAATCAAGGAAAAATTTCCCTCGTGACCCATGCCTTATTATTAGCTTTCAAAAACCACACAATTACTCTTCATACAAAGGTTATTTTCTTGAACAACGCTGAGATATTCAGAATGGTAACACAAGGAACAGGCTTGATCACTTGAAATCACCCACTACATTACTACAGAAACATAGAGTTACCACTGTCTTGCTTAGGCTTGTGTCCCAGCAGGCAGGGAGGCCTTTTCCTCCTGATAATGTTAGGTCCTCTTTGCATTTTCCCAAAAGTGGCCTGTTTCGTCACAAAAGAACACTTGTTGCAGGGTTTTAATTGTTCAGTCTGTATGTACTCTCCTTGAATTAACTTGCGAATTTTGTAGCTGCCTTTTTGACATAATGGCTTCACCATGGCCGTATCAGCACTGTGTATGCCACTATGGTTCTTAAAGCCTCTCAAACTAGTCCCTTTTGCTGCCTTAAATCACAAATATCGTAACTCATTGCAGGCAATTTCTTGGAGATTGACATGCAATTTGCCTAGCCTTTTTCAATCACAAATAAGTGACTGCATAAGAACTATCTCCTGAGCTAATGTGTTTCTTGTTGATGCCACACCAACAATAACTTCTCAACATCATCGAGTCTGGCAACTCATTTAAGTCACATATTTGACCCCCCTTCGCAACAAACAGAGTTCCTACGATTTCCTTTGTCTTGGCTACGATGGAGCTATGGTTGTATGGGGTTTTCTTATACTGTCCTGGCCGTTCGTGGCTGCCACACACGACGCCACTTTCATATTGTTCAATGATGTTATTCTTTAATTCAGTCGTATTAACTCACCTGCTATTAACCAAAGGCCAGGCACTAGTATAGCTTTCTTTGGAGCATGGTTCTATTTGTCAGTTGCAAGCAACTAAAATGAATGATACAGTGACCCAAACCCTCTCCTCCCCCCGCATACCGTCGAAATTTAATCCCCGTGTCAAGAGGGGTAATTGTTATTCAATAATCGGTACGCGCAGAATTTCTTTTCCCCATAAGAAATAATGAAAACTCAAATTAAATTCCGTGCAAGACAACCCAAAAAAAAAAAAAGCAAAAGTATGAATAAAAGTTTTTTTTTACCACATGAAATTAATTTTAGAATCACACAAACTGAAAAAGAAAGAGGCATGCACAATTATATGACACTTACTTTTATTGAAGATCTGTGATGATTGATGGGAATGGAGATGAGGAGAGAGTGTTAGTGTTTAAGAAGGGGAAACCCCTTCCATTAGACTGAGGTGTTCCGAGTTCCTTTTCGGGGTACTTCCCTTCTTTCCTGCCACATAGGAACCAGCTCAGAGTCACTGGACTTCTTTCGCACAACAATATCTGTCCATAGTGGCCCCTTAACCTCACGTTCCTTACATGAACTTGTCCCTAAAGTGTTTCACATATTGTCATGTAATAATCACCAGCACGGCTTGCAATAGCTGTGTGGAGGGATTTTCATCAAAAAAGGTTGCACTTCAAGCTCACTTAGCATACACATTTCCTATAATCTTTGTAGAAGGAACTTCTTCAATTTCTCTTCCCTTCTCCCTGAACCAGTTTTCCCAGGTCTGGCCTCTTGCTCTTGAAGTTGATCTATCAGCTCAATCAGTGGTTCGTTTCTTCATTGCCCTCCTCCACCAACTCTATCCACATACCTCCCGCAACTAACCTCCAACCCAAGACTTTCCCAAAGGGCCACACTGGATTCCTCAACATGGCATAACCACTCTGGGTTAGCCTCAAACCTCTTCAAAATCCCTTTTGTCTACACATTTCTTGGCCACAGTTATCTCCAAGCTAGTTCCAGTCCTTCTTATCACTCCTTCCCCAGCCATACCTAAATGATTACACAATTGGGATATTAAAGTGCTTCTCTCCAAAACTCTCTTAGAGTCAGGTTGAGTTTCTGA